TAATTTCAAAAATTAGCGTCCTGTGTCAAATCTCTCCTTCATTTCAAAAATACTTGTAGCAAAACAAATCGACGCTCATCTGGAGATGTATTAACTGCATGATGATTTTCAGTCTGCGTACAGAACGGGACATTCCACCGAAACTGCGCTTATGAAGGTTCACCATGACATCGTATGCGCACTTGACAAAAATTGTTGCGCTGTTCTTGTTATGCTCGACCTATCCGTGGCTTTCGACGTTATAGACCACGACATCCTATTTCAGCGTATGGACAATATGTTTGGTATTACTGGATCCGCGTTGAAATGGATCAAATCTTGCCTCAGTGACAGACCATAAAGTGTCGCTGTTGGTTCATCGTTGTCTGATGCTAGTTCTCTAAAATTCGGTGTACCCCAAGCTCGGTTCTGGGTCCAAGACTCTATTGTCTATTCTCTAAACCACTGAGCGAAATCTGCAGACGTCATAAAATGACGTACCATATATACGCCGACGACACCCAGATATACATCATCATTGAGCCAAGTGATAATTGGGCCGATATGTCCCAAAGACTCATGTTATTTATCGGACATACGTAGATGGATGAGTGCCAACCTCCTCAAATTAAATAAAGACAAAACATAGACTTACAAATATGAAGAGTTTGAGTTAGAATTCGGTGATTGTGTTGTTAGTGATGTATCTTTTGTAAAAAATTTAGGCGTATTCTTCGACAAAACCCTATCCATGGACAAGCAATGCATCTCAATTTCACGCTTGGCATATATGAACATTCGCAGAATTGGTCGCATCCGTTCCTACATTAGTGACGAAGCGTGTAAAGCTCTAGTTAATTCCTTGGTAACATCTAAACTAGATTACGGCAATGCATTGCTGTACGGCGTTCCTTCTCACCACATCGCCAAACTTCAGAAAAAATTCTGCTGCAAGACTAATTACACACTCCAAAAGATCCGATCCAATAACTCCAACTCTAATCCATCTTCATTGGCTCCCAGTTGAATATAGAATCAAATATAAAATCCTTCTGTACACTTTCAAATCCCTTCGCAGCCTATCTCCAGTCTACATGAGAATTGTCATAACTGTTTACAACCCGCCATGATCACTGCGTTCAGAATCCGCACATCTTCTCCAGGTACCCCGGACACGCACTAAAACATACGGAGACCGTCGTTTAGACAAGGCTGCATCTGGTCTCTGGAACTCACTGTCTTTTAAGCTTAGAGAATGTGCTTCACTGCCTAGTTTTAAAAGGGATCTTAAAACACACCTTTTTAAGCTGGCCTTTAATTTGTGAATCTCTTTAAAATATAAATAATTATGGTTTTATGATTAGACAGTGACATCTTGACTACTTTACATGTATGTATATATGTATTTTTAATTACTATATCTTTGATATATTTTAATTGTAAAGCGCTTTAGAGGACTCAAATCGATAGAGCGCTATATAAATTTTATATTACAATCACAATTACTATTACAATTACATCAAATAACATTTGGAGGTCTGCACAGTACAGCACTTGCACCAAGCTGAAGCTTTATTAGATCTGTGTTGTATCAGTTCTCCTATATGGATCGGAATGTTATGAGAATAACAGAGACAGATCTTTGCAAAATACGATCCTTCAACACCACATGCTTCCGTCGAATATTCAGGAAATTCTGGCCCGAGGAAGATTACTAAATGAAGACCTGCTAAGCAAGTGCAAATAAGAGGACATGGGTACTATCATTACCAAACGCTGATGAGGATGGATTGAACATGTTCTCCAAAAAGACATCCAGTCACAACTAGAACAGCACTGCATTGGACTCCAGAAGGCAAAAGAAAGAGAAGGACTAGAACACCGGGTGAAGGACAGTTGAAAGTGAGATGAAAGCCATATAGCATACCTGGTGATCATTGACGAGGCTGGCCCTGGATAGACAAGAGTGGAGGAAGTTTATTGCTCTCCTACACACCACAAAGTGTAAAGGACAATGATGATGATGATAATGTGTGAGCATCCCCTGCCGACCAGTCACATCCGCCATGTTCTCCTTGTTATGATCGGGAAATAACAAAAAAATTCGTCGACAATTCAGTGTGTAAATAATGAGCTAACTATTAGCTACAGGATGAAAAAAGTCAGTCACCATTTGACTCAATGATATACTTGCATTGTATCATCCTCACAATGCCAGGGGCCCTGACTAAACATGTTCCCGTTGGATCCTTGGCATATTCCATTCAATATTCGTGAGCTGACTGGGTCGACGTCCTTCGGAAATATTACGAATCTTTATTCAAGTTTTTTTGTCTCTCGGCCAATCACATTAAGGCATTCTATGATAAAAACTTGTGGCATGTGCCTTTGAAGCATCGATCGACTGATTTTTTTTTTTTTTTGCATTATCTGTTTATAGAAGCTTTAATTTGACCCGTCCTTCTTTATGAGAGAAGCAAGCCCTAAAATATCTAATGAAATATGCCAGGGGCCCAACAGCAACGTATTGACAGGATCCTTGGCATTGCAAGGATGATATTGTATTTGCTGAAATGGTCATATTATCGAATAGAACTTACGAAATTATGACTTTCAGGGTTAGGGTTGTCTTGATGTTTAACATTTGGATATTTTACTAGAAAGAGACGTTAATGGTATTCGAGCAACGAAACTTTGTGATAAATGTGATGACTTTATCTTTTTAATCGTCAACTTCCCTTACTTATGCAGCAATATACCATTATCACCTGCATAAGGGGTTTATCTCGCAGTTGATTCGATAGCACTTCGTAAGAACAATTTCAAAAACGAGGTAGGTTACTGACAAACTTTATGAAACAAGAATATCAGCAGTCTTCGACTCTCGTTTAAAGTCATCATTCGGTAAGTTCTATGCTATGGTCGATAAAATGACCTAGTCATCAATCAATAAGTTAAATGCTGACTTACATTTATCATACTAACTGATAGGCCATTATTTATACTCTGATTTGTTGACGGATTTTCCGTTATTTCCCTATCATGACAAGGAGCACATGATGGATGTGACCGGTCGGAAGGGGATGCCTACTCATACATGGCACCTGATCCCATCTTTGATGTTTTATAGGTGTTTGCTTACTTTAAAATTTTTGTTGTTTTGATGGATTTTTGAGCTCGAATACTGTTCATTATCTCCATATATTTCATTGGCTATTTTTCAGTCCTCTAATGATTGACCGAGGTCAATGGAAGCCTGGAAAATTTTGTTGCGTTTTTTGGTGTTACTGAATGAGCCATCTCTTTCAGGAATCTAGTAGAGATCTCGTCTTGTCCAGTCGCCTTATTAGGGTTGAGACCTTAAAAACTTTTAGAAGAGTAGCTTCAGTACGCCTTTCTCTGTGACTCTGACTTCTGATAGGATGGTACTAGTCCCTAGAGACAGGGTGTTAGATGTATCCTCTATGGTGAACACTGACGAAATATGTTGGTTCGGGAGAGAAGTTTTTGTTTGTGGGCCTCCTTGTACATTCCCTTCTGAGTGGAATGGTGCAATCCCAGTACTGTCACACTTCTTACTCTAAATGACGGAAGAATCTCTTGCTGCTAGAGTCCTACAGCACCATATCCGATGCATATAAATTATAGACACCCTTACATTCCTGCTGGGTTGTTTTCTACAGGCGCCTGTAACTCTGTCTGTCCTTATCCCTGCCTGATTTTTAAAATCCTTTTAAAGGCTCTTCACTTTTGTCTCGAAATGGATTTTTCATGTTGCACCATGGTTGGTTAAATCTGCTTGAGGTCCACTTTGTTGATAAATGCTTAATGGTGGAGTTGAGGCAGTTGGACTTGAAAGTGGTCCAAAAATCATCTATGGGTGCGTCATATCTTGAGTTGACGAGGAAGTGTGCCAAGTCATGTTCGAGATTCGCTGTCATTTTCGCTGTGTTGGCTTTCTTTCATCAATGAATGAGGCGTCTGACTGCATGGTTTTCTATCTGGATGGCACTGTTTGTGTCAATTATGACTATGTCATTGTCACTTAAGGATAGTGTGCACGTGTACAGCAAGAAGGGGCGGTTTTTGATGAAGATGTCTGAGGTATTGGTACCCCGGGTAGGAAAGTACACTGAAAGAAAAACCTAGTGAATTTAACTTGTGTGTGTTTCGTAAAGCGTTGGTCGTGATTAGTAAACTTTCAGATTACTGGTTAAGATAGTGAGTTGTGGAGCGGGAGTCGTATAGATACTTAGATACCTAGTGAAAGTTACTCATCAATTCTAAATTTACTAATCTTATCTAGTAAAGATACCAATATCTGGTAAAACTGCTATTAAGGTAGTGATTGTATGGACAGTGAATCTACTAGTTTTCTTCTTGACATTAACTAGTTGTTTTTTTCCAGTGTATACTGCACCTGCTCCCTCCAATGTCAAATACGCTGTCGATAAACATAGTGTTGATATGTGCTGGACTATTTTAGGCTCAAATGATAGAAGCTATCGGGCAGATTGGAGCCTCCTGATCATATGACTAAGCTTTGATATCTACTGGCAGGGTTCCTAACAGCTGAATACCACTCCTCTGTATATTCTATATGCTGCTTTGTGGTCGGTAAAGAGAAGTTGAACTAATGATCATTGGGTCTCAAATTAAAGTGAACATAACTTATTTCTTTTGAATCTTATTTAGATCTTCCCTGACTCCCAGACGGTACAAGGAAAAAGTTTAGGATGAATAATCAAAACTTGTCATTGGAAGTCTAACTTTAAGTTGTAGCTATAAAAGAAATAGTCCAATTAATCCAGGAGAGAAAGATTTTAAAAGGAAAAATACTTCAACCAATCCAAGAGAGAGAGATAAAGGAAATAATCAATCAATCGAGGAGAGAAAGATAAAGGAGATAATCAATCAATCCAGGAGAGAAGATCAAAGTGAGCAGCCTACACTTTCCATATATTTTTTACATCGAGCTCGTTTTTCTAATATATCGGGCTCGGGATTCATCAACATGAAGGCCAGAGGAAAATCAGACGACTGGCACCTGTCGAAATGGTGTGTACGTTTTCCTTGCCGTAACCGTAACGATAAAAGATGATTTGCTGAAAAACAAAACCTCCCAAGGGTATAGTAATTAAACTTGAAAAGTTTAAGCTTTATATAAAGTACTGATGTAGAGATTCAAACCGAATTCAATAGCACCCACTATCATGGCAGGTCCAGTTAATTTTTTTTCAATATACATTTCCGATTTTTTACTTTAAAAAATCTTTGTTTACAATTTCACGGACTTAGAAGAAAGTGCAATATCAAGAGTGATTTTTGTTATATGCATTGTTTGCAGCAGACATATAAAAACCATGTCTCTGCTTGCAGATCAGTTCAAAAAATTATCACTGCATCAGAGTGCTTTTTTTTTTAAAAATCCTACTAAAAATGCTCATTTGATAAAAAGTATAACTTAGTAGATAAATAAAGCATATAGACCTTACCAGTCCCCAGAAAAATGTTAAAAAAAGACACAGTGTTACTGATGTTTGAACATGATATTATGAAATATTCGATGCGGGTTAATATTTCCTCCTGGTAAAATGATTATACAGTGGACCCTCAGATATCCGGATGCTTCAGTCTCTGGACGATTTTTCATCGGAAGAGAATTTTTTAATGTTGTTTTGTTCTGATTAACAGGGTTCGACACTAACTTTTTTACCTTGGTGGACCGCAGGTCCACATGTCAAAAATTATTGATGGACTTCTCAATGTCTGGTGGACCTTTATAAAATATAAATGTTTGAATTAATGAATGAATCATTACATGAGGTATTAATTAAAGCTAACTTTAATACATACCGATTCCAGTCAGACTAATAAAGCATAAATCTAACCAGTCAACAGAATCAATCAATATAGGGACTAGTCAGGTTATTTTGTCAGAAATATTGTTGAACTTAAAAAAAAAAAAAACGTATTAAACTACAAACCCAAATTTTTTTTTTTAATTATTATCATTAAGTTACAATGGTGAAAACCTAAAACCTGCATTTATTTTGCTTCCAAAGGTAGATTAAATTTAAAATTCCAATTATTAATTAGTTTGTTCAAATATAAAACAAGTGAATTTTTCATGTATTTATGGCAAGATCTTTTTCTTTTTACTACGATGCAAAACTGAGATAGAAACATGTATATGTATTAATCAATTATTTTTCTAAATTTAACTTTACTATTTATTCAAATAAGTAGTGATATAATATATATCTAGAAAAAATGAAACTGCAGATGAGTTCATAAAATGTAAATTACGCTTATTTGAACATCTATTTAAAAAAAACAATGCATAAATGCAGCTGTCAATCAATTCTAATTATCTCCAACTGTGTGCGTTCAGGCATGAAGCGATTTTCAAACCTTTCTATGCGTTACGTAAACAGAGGAGAGACTGGCTAATTTGGCACGGATTTTTCATGCTTCTTATTCAAGGTCCATGTTGTATGTTCTTGCGTCTCAATATTATTTTTAATATTGGAGTTATCAATTTAACATTTAAAATATATCGAGTTGCTAGGTCCCCCTGATAACCTAAAACATTATTTACATGTATATTTATTTTTTGTAAATACAGATATGGAGGAATTAATAATTTGAGTTACGGATGTAAGAAAAAACCTGGGATTTCACTGTTTTTTTAATACAGTGTTTAAATTCTAAGTGGACCAACAGTCCACCTAGTCCAGAACATTTGGTGGACCTTCCAATTTTTTGGTGGACTCGGGCCGCCGGTCCACCGTTAGTGTCGAACCCTGATTAAATGGTAATTCAGGTATCCGGACACTTCACATATCCGGACAAATTGACTAGGAACCAAAGCGTCCGGATAAATGAGGCTTCACTGTATACTATATTATCATTATAAAGAAATTATTAATGTTTTTTTAAGTATGAATTTCTGTGCCCTTGTTTATGTTGTTTGTTGAAATTTATCCTTAACTTTCAAATAATTTTTATATACATGTATTAAAATGATTCAGAAATGAAGTTTTGATTTTAATTTTTATTGCAGATTCCTTTGACATAATGGCTTCAAAGAAAAGAAATTTGCCTTTGTGGATGAAACTTTGTGAATCAGAAAAATTTAAGGAAGAAAATATGGAGTCTTCCCCCAAAAAGTCAAGAGAAACTCGTATTGAGGAAGCGGGAGCAACCTTCAATCAAATTCTGAATGATTCAATGAAAGAGATGTCCTTTAGTGGGTCATTAGTGTACTCCCACCATAAATCTGACTGCAATCTTCTGTGTGAGGAGATAGAAATGGCCCTATGTGATAAGGTTGGGGCCTTTATCGGGTTTGATATGGAGTGGCCTGTGACGTATCGCCCTGGAAGTCAAGCTAAGACCGCTGTGATACAGCTGTGTACGGCGGCTAATGTCTGTTATGTCTTCCACTTGTCCTGTATCGGAGGACTTCCTGTTGGCCTTCGACAACTCCTCTTAAGTCCAAACGTTTACAAGGTTGGAGTGGGAATTCAGTCCGATATGTGGAAGCTGGAGCGAGATTTTGGTATTTCTGTTGGACCTATTTTGAAGTCCAGTGTTGTAGATTTAAGTGATTATGCTAATCAGGCACTTAAGTCTAGAGAAACATGGAGTTTAGATGGACTTGTTAGACATTTGTTTGGAGAAAAAATCAACAAAAATCCTTCTCTACGCAAAAGTGACTGGTCAGAGTTTCCTTTGTCAGATTTACAACAGAAATATGCAGCCACAGATGCTTATGTTTCATACCTTATCTATGACAAGTTGAACAAAATGATGAATAATGTCACATCAAAAACATAATATGAATTAACATGATATAATTTGTTTTGTTGAATGGAAGCTGGTGGTAGTTATAAAGAGTTTTACTTTAATCAGTACTCATTTGCCTGTCAAAAATACATAAGTACATTGTACTCCATCTTAAGAGTTTTTAATGTTAATGAGTCATTTTTGATACACCCTAACTATCTATTTACGCAAGCTAGGGCAAATACATGATTGTATTAAAGACATATCTCAGGATCTTCAAACTACCCGATACAGTGGTAACAACAAGATATTTTACATGTGATATAATATTATAAATAAATTTTATACAAGAACTTATTTATTTTTGTGTGAAATATTGTTAAATGTGAAATTAATTAATGCACCTTTCTGTACATGTTTAACTTTTACTGATATGCTTTATATTAATTTCATGTTTTATTCATACAAAACTTACTTTGCTTTTGTGTGAAATACTGATAAATGTTAAATAAATGCAACTTTCTGCTTAACTTTTACTAGTATGCTACTAGATATACAGTGAACTGAAAATGCGTACATGTAAATTGAAGTTTGAAAATATTTACTTATGGACATGTAGCAGACAAATCATTAGTATGACTGTAATGAATGTCTGATTCTGTGAAATTGGGGCCCAGTTGGAAATTTATTAAACAGGATCATCTTCAAAATAATGTTAGTCTTCTCCTAACACAGGCTAAATAAAATGTGTTTGTGAAACATTGATTCCCCCTATTGCAGCTTTTGCTGAAGGTTAAAGTTTCTAAATGCAAATCACACTCCAAGGATATTAGAGGAGAAATATTGTTATCCAAAGAAAGGACTTGTCTCAGTGAAGATACCCATGAAATATAAAAGCACCAACCATTCAAAAAGTTAATGTCATGGTAAAATCTTTCATATTTGGGTTAAACTCCAAGGTCAAAGGGTTGAATTTAAGGTACCCATGGGAAGGTTATGTCATAAGAAATTCTAATGTGAAATATTTAAAGCCCTAGCACCAACAGTTCCTAAGTTATGACCATGCTTAAAGTTTTTCAAAAGTAAGTCAAATACCAAGGTCAATTTGTTGGTATCCAAGGGTAAGGGTTTGTCAGAAGGAATATGCCTTTGAAATATGAAGACACTACTTCAACAGTTCAAAAATGTGTGCAAGGTTATATTTTTTTAAGTGAGTCAAACTCAAAGGTCAAGGTCAAAAATATTTATATCCTTTGAAAGGTATTGTCACAATAAATACATGTTTTGTATATGAAAACCCTAGCACTATCTGTTCAAAAGTTATGTCCAAGATGTTTTTTTTAAATGTGGGTCAAACTCCATGGTCAAGGTCTTAGAGGTAAAATGAACTGTATGTTTTAAACAAGAGACATTGCATGGACCACAGGTGTAGATAGGTGTTACCCTTTATATATGTATATGTTTATTCACCAATCAAGGGCCCACGGGGGGCATGAACAAATTATTACAATATGATAATATTGATTACAATTCTATAATATAGATGTATAATGTAACATGACTAGTGATTAGGTTTGACATTGAGAAGTGCATCACCACACTTGATCAAAAGCATAGAAAACCATAGGATGATAAAAAGAAAACACAATTAAATAAAAATGATAGATATAAGGTAATTAAAAAAAAAAATTCTTGTAGTAATGGCAGTACTCTGATATATAACTAATGCATCTTGAATACAAAGGGCACCAGGGGATGATACCTCTACACAGCCAGACTGGCAAACCAGTACTCTAAGTATTGAAGATGGTCATTCAAAAATAATTGTTTAAGTATTATCAGAAATAGTAATTTCAATTAATAAGTACTTAGCATGCAATTATGAACTTGATGCAAACTAATCTCTTGGAGTTAGTTCAAGATATTTAACATTCTATAAATCTGAATATATGCATAACCAACTAACACAAACACACACTTATTGTTACACATATCCATGCATACAAAAATAATAATTTACATACAAATATATGTATATATTTAAACAAATGGTACTATCATGTATAAATGTAAATCTGTGATCTTGAAGGTAGCATACAATTAATGTAAAGAAAAGGTAACTTGGATACAGAGGGTACCAGGGGACGATGCCTCTGCACAGTCGATTATACTGGCAAACCCGTACTCTAAGTATTCAAGACACCCATTCTGACTGATTCTGTACATTTTAGAAGGTAATGGGGGGGGGACACATTTAATTTACAATAAAAATAAAAAAAAAAAATAAAAAGAAACTTTTCATAGGTTTACTAATACTTTTCATACTTCAGCTCTCATAATCATTTTACTGACTTGAATCAGTATTTGCACATCCTCATTAGTCATGAGCCAATTTAACTTACTATCACTGTCCAAGTTGTGGAAATTCTTACAGGATTTGTTTATTAATTCATACAAGACTTTTCTTTCATCCTTAATGTGATTACATGAAAGGAGAAAATGTTTCTCATCATCAACTGTTTTGTCATTGCATCTATTGGAGTATGTTGATATTGATGAAAAGATGTGAAAAAAATGAGGGGCAAAATTTTTCTATTAGAGTAAACAAAGTGAATATACATTATGTATATAATTTTTCCTCATCGGTACGGGGAGGCTGGCAAAAAAATGCATAATAAAGGCACTGAACATTGGGGCATAGGTTTAGAAAAAAAATGTAATCTTGAGTGCATAGATAAAAAATTTCCCCGTCAAACACATCTATATGCCGTTATATGCAAGCAGATTGTACTTTTTCTCACGTTTAAAAAATGGCTTAAACGTGAGAAAAAGTACAATATGCTTGCATATAACGACATATACATCGGCGCTACGTTTATTGACTCTTGTAAGATAGAAAAAGTTTTTTATTTCAGTTAAAACTTTCATTAATTTCATAGATCGTCATTTGGAAAAAACTAATTCATCATATCTTTAGAAAGTTTGTTACATGTGCACAAATGCATACTTCCAGTAGAAACATGAAGGGGAAGAAATTGAAATACGGAGCTGTAAAAAGAGCTCTAAAAAAAGCTAAAAAATTTTTACATCGGCACAAAAACTCATTTTTTTCAGATCATGTTAAAAATTCCATATTTGCAGCCTCCCACTTTTTTCCCCCCAACAATACCTTTACTATTGAAAATGTTCATTGAAAGGTTGTTGGCCCCCACGTCTTACCACAGGAAAGTGATCTATGAAGGAAATTTAGTATGGTATGCAAAGAAAAAATGGAAGTAAAAGGAACTTGGCATTGAAAAAAAAAAGTTGGCCACTACCCATTCCCACGAAAAAGGAGTTGCGAATTTGGGCAATTTTCTTTCTTTTTTTTTTTTTTTTTTTTTTGTTTTGTTTTTTTGCTTGTCAACTTTTACAGGTGAGTAAAAAAAAAAATCTCTGGCTGCCCCCCCCCCCTTTCATCCTTTCAAAAACGATGCCACGTGCATGGAACGTCTCAGTACATATGGCTGCAGAAAGGCCGAAGGAAATTTAAACATCACTTTTTAAATGTGTATACATTTTATCATATGAACAATTTTGTCTAGTACCCCTTTAATTTTAATTAGAAAGGATGGTTCATCGGTACTCCTGCAAAATCCGGAGATTCGGTTTCCACAAGAAACGACTTGCATTTAGATTCCAACACGACATTTCCTGTTATGACCTTGGAACGGAAAAAAATATACTGAAAATGTCATCAATTAAATAAAGCAAATAATTTGATGCAGGAGATCACACTATGGATGATGTGCACATATCTCCCCGCAGGCGGGAGTCGCTCAGCAGAAGAAGGACTTCTAGCGTCAGGTCGAGTCATATGTTCGGTCGCTTTGACAGTAAAAACTTCGCATTAGCAGCAAGCGCTAGAAATGCGCAAATTGAACAGCAAGAAAAGCTGGTCAAAAAACTGAATACTTACTACATACAATGTAAGGGAATTCTGCCTTATTTTGTTCATATTTTATTTAGGTGCGACATTTAGGTCGAGCACAGATACTCATTCGGTTTTGATTTAGGGCGGTACATACGGTAAGCAGGTCCAGCACAATACCCTGATAAAGGTATATAGCTTGATAAAGCTAAATAGCTTTATCAAGGTACTACAAATACCTTGATCAAGGGGATAGACTTTACTTTACCGGTCCCCAGATCCGCAAGATCATCACGCTCATTGGACTATGACGTAATAACTACGTCACTTAACTGAAATGGGTTAAAGTTTGCACATTATTCGACTGATTAGGGTTAGTCTTGCACCCACCAGAGAGATTAGGGTTAGTCCTTGCACTAGTATTCGACTGATTAGGGTTAGTCTCGCATCCATCTGAGAGATTACGGTTAGTCCTCGCACATTAATTGACTGATTAGGGTTAGTCTAGCATCTGCCCGGGAGATTTCGTCTAAACGTCTAAACGTCTTAGTCCTTGCATACCATCTGATGGATTAGGGTTAGTGACTTGTTCTTTTCGATAAGTTTAAGAAATTCAGTTGTTTTTGTAATTTTTCCAAGATCATAATTCAGTTTCAATGGCATTTCGGTCATTTGTTTACATGTAAGAATGGCAAAGTCTGAAAGAAGTGGCACTTAGCATGCGCCGCACGTGCATTGTTCAGAATTATTCTTTGTCAATTTTTTCCATGAATAAGCAATATTTATTAATTTTTTTCAGAGAACATGGTTAAAAACTACGTTTAAAAACAAAGTTTTAAGCTAAACTTTTAACTGTAGAATTCAATTTTGGGGTCAAAAGGCTAAAAAACCTCGTACTTAAATTTTTTTCGATCGCTCACGCGATCTCATATATACTGAAGTTGCATTTGGCGACACTACATTTTAGTGCGTTTTTCTGGGGACCAGTAAAATAAAGTCGTTCCGATCAAGGTATTTTATGTAATGAAAATTCTAAAAAATTCTTTAAAAAATTAAATACTGAAAGTTGAATTCTGAGTTGTTGTCAGTAAATTCACCCATGCATGTAAAGTACTCAAACACAAAGAAATTGGTATAAAAGCATGTCGTGTGAACAGATGTTCTTTTATGCTGAATTTTTGACACCAGAGTGCTTTTCATGCATTGGACACACTTACAAGAACTCAGAATTCGACTTTCAGTATTTAAGTTTTAAAGAATTTTTTGAACTATCATTACATAAAATACCTTGATCAAGGTATTTGTAATACTTTGATAAAGGTATATAGCTTTATCAACTATATACCTTTATCAGGGTATTGTGCTGGACCTGGTAAGGCGTGCCTTGTAAGTCATGGAACATAAGTTCTAACCTTACCTTGTGTACACCCTTAATACACATTTTTTGAGCCTTACAAGTCAGACTTAAGAATAGAACACTGCTCTTACTACAAGACTTAGCAGACATTTCAACTGTAGAAGTTCGGGCTTTACGGACCGTGGATATCGGCCTGGATAGCTCAGTGGTTAGAGCACTTGACTAGTAATGCAGGGGTCCCGGGTTCGATTCCCAGTCCAGCCATATGTTTTCTTCGTGCATTTCTCCTTTCCTTCTACATTTGGTGGCCAGTGTGGGGGGCTTTGTTCAGGTTACAGTGTATGTGTAAATTAGTAATTCCTGGCAGGGCCCTAGAACTTGTGTCTTCGAGGTCGAAGACTGTTTAAGGAGGGAGGAATGTAGAAGTTCAAACTTTACGGACCGTGGATATTGGCCTGGATAGATCAGTGGTTAGAGCACCTGACTAGTAATGCAGGGGTCCCGGTCCAGCCATATGTTTTCTTCATGCATTTCTCCTTTCCTAGTACACAACCAATGAAAACCATTCACTTAAAGTTCAATTTATTCTTTGTAAGACCATACACGTTGGTAGATTGAAGGGAACACAGAGTGTATTCGAATTTGATGATAAAAAATATCTGCAAACACCTCTGTTAACTTAACCTCCCCATCCTTGTTAAAGTTGCATAGACACAGATTTGAAGTTAAGATTTTCTCAAATTTTCTGTATAATAGCACAACTTATATATTGCACTAGCATTTCTACATTCGTTGAGGTGAGTTCTGTCATTTCTGATTACCTATGTTTTTGTCTTTGAAGTAAAAAAACAGATCCTACAACACCAGAGTCCGACACTTGGACTGTTTCCTGATATTGGTAATGAAAAACATCCTACCCACATCGCACACATTAGAGCCAGCATCTATTGTGCTGTGGCTGTGTGGGCTTTATCCCAGGCATACAGGTAAATGAAACACAGGTAAAGGACAAAGCACTGTCATGTGATTCCAAGGATGATTATTAAAAATCTTGTTTGCTATAAGTATGAATCAAGTGTGTCAAACTATAAACAAAGGATGTTTACTTTTCCATGCAAATAGTGAAGCAATGCAACATGAGAAAGATTGGTTAATTTTCAGGGAATTCAACCATGATTTTTTTTTTGTAATGATATTTTTGATTTAAGAAATTGTGATTTAAGAATTATTAGTTGTTTATATCATTGAGTGAAGGCTTATTTTCCAGGAAAGTAGATGATGACCAGGGTAGGACGCATGAGCTGGCCCAGAGTGCCGTCAAGTGCATGCGGGGAATTCTCTTCTGCTGGATCAGACAGGCAGACAAGGTAACAACATTTACTGACAGGAAAATCTTTATTTTTGGTTGTTGAGATACATGTTACATTTTGTTGTCGTATTACAGGTTGAGAACTTTAAAGCCAATCAGAGAGCTGAGTACGCTCTTCATTCAGCGTTCCACATGGTAACCGGGGACCCTGTTTACCTTGACGACGAGTACGGACATTTACAGATCAATGTGATTGGCTTATATCTGATATTTCTGGTTCAGATGATTTCCTCTGGTTTACAGGTCAGTATTCTGAACTAGGAACAAGACCTAGTGATCTAATATTCTATTTTTTTTTTTAAAGTAAATAAGTCTGATTTGATCTAAGTCCAACATAGTATACTGTAAACCAATTTCAATTCGCGTGCGAGTAATTTTTTGTGAGGTTCGCGAGAACCTCATCATCCCGAATATTTCTCACTGCGAACTGGTCCTTAAAGTCTCTGTGTCTATTAGCAACAGATCCAAAAAGACTTGATTGCGAAAATTAATTTGTCACAAACTTGTTCATCCCTGGTAAATCGGGAAATAAAGTCATTGCAAATAAAAGTTGGTTTACAGTAATTGGGTACATGTTGTAATTGTTGTCCAATTCAGAGTTGTCTATAACTATAACTTGGCACCACAGAATCCATTATAGACATTGTTATTATTTAACTGACAATTAAATAAGAAGGCATTAACAGGATTGGTCAAATAAAGTTAAACAATGGAACTCCTCCATGGCACCTGATCACACCTCTGATGTTTTGGAGGTCTGTGTTTGCTCTGCTCTTATTTTGTATTGTTTTATGGACTTTGAGATTGAAAACTGTTCGTTATCTCCATATCCTTCTATGTATTCTCGGTACATATCTACTCATGAAATAAAATCAGACAAATTTAAAAAATGTAGTTGAAGGCTGGCCTTTACAGAGTCATTCTTACTCTCAAGACTAAATTTCAAAGATGAGTTCATTTGACAGTTGAGCATTATGTTTTTCAGATCATATTTACGACAGATGAGGTGAATTTTGTCCAAAACCTTGTGTTTTATGTGGAGAGGGCATACAGGACTCCTGACTACGGGACCTGGGAGAGGGGGAGTAAATACAACAACGGGTCGACGGAGATCCATGCCAGGTAAAAAATTAACAAGGGTAAATAGTGAACCAGGTTATCACATGTATAAGATAGACACACACGTAATGTATATTCAGATAAATGATCAGAAAACTCATTTGATGAATTGATATGTGGGATCAGTAAACAATAAATTCAAACTGGGAAAACAGAGTTTTCTATTGACCTATTTTGAAAGTATTAAATTAGAGCATTGGAAAGAAAAACACAAGAGGCCTGACTGATATTTTCTGCTCTGCTTTATTAAATTTAAATCCTTCAGGCTAATAGAACTATTATAGACTGTTTAGAAGGGAGACATCACCAAATACTGTAAACCAACTTTTATTCGCGTGTGAGAAATTTTCGCGAAGTTCGTGAGAGCCTCGTCATCGCGAATATTTCTCAACGCGAACTGGTCATTATAGTCTATGTGTTTATTAGCAAGAGAACCTAAATAGGCATGAGCGCGAAAATTATTCGTCGCGAACTAGTTTACCCCCTGGTAAATCGCGAAATAAAGTCGTCGCGAATAAAAGTTGGTTTACAGTATCAGATCTGAGTAAGGATGATCATTCTCAGGTGCAAGTGCCCTCAGGTAACAACGCTACTCAGACCTGATAATTTGTGATGTCTCCCTTCTAAACAGCCCAGGATTGTATATTGTAATATCTGTTATTATAGAATTTTGTGATTTCTACATACAGGTGAGAGTTAATGTACCAAGGTTCTTTAAGTCCACTAAGAGATTCGCAGGTATGATAAGGCTTCCCAGAGAATATTGTAGTGTACTCTGTGCATGCACTTCTCTGAACTACAAATGTATGACGTCATAATTGAAATGACGTCAAGTCACTGCATACTTGAGCTGTAATGATGGGGAGAGTGTCATAAACTTTACACATTATTTCAATCTGCATATAAAGATGCAGAATGCTAGTTTAAGATAAACATGTTTTTATCATTTTTTCAAAAATTTAATATAACCCAATAATTTAGATAAGGCTATCTAAATTTAATTCCCTGGTTCTCAGGCCAATTTTCTCCAAAACAGATGCGGGAGGGCGGCATTTTATTTTTCATTTTATAGGCAATAAAGTAGATGAGGGAGGTTTTTTTTTTTATTTTAATTTCCGAATTTTCTTTAACATAAAGATAATTTTTTTAATCACAGATATACTTTCCATTTCTGGTCAAAATTTCTGCTTTATCCATTGCTTAACAGCGTGTAAACATCGTAGGTAATGTCCTCGAATGTATTTTCAAACGAAGTAGCCAAAATCTCATTGTAAATGACTACCGGAAGTGATATTTGAATACTGAACTACGAAACAAATGAGGTCGGAATTTTTTTTCCCGGATTGGTCTCCGCAACACCAACTTTTTATTTTATCAAAAACACAATAAAATCGGCAATGCGGCTACCTCAAAACGGATGCGCGCGGGCCTGAGAACCAAGATTTCAATTTTATATGGCCTAACTTTGCTTTATTACTCTTGTTTAATAGTCAGCGTGTTCAAACTACGTACAGTGTACGAAAATATACATTTGACATTTACCCTTTTTTAAACCCGTGGACAGAGACAGAATTCGTAATATGTGTATAAAAGAGCCTGGCGCAGGTGATTAATGAGGATTTATTTAATATCTTTTGTGGAAATATGTAAGAGGAGTTTCCCCTCTAACTGAATCCTGCTTGGGAAAAATGTATGATGGCTTTGTTTTAAAACAGATGACAATATTCAGCGGAAAATACCCTCGGATTTGTCAATAAGTTGACGTTAATGTGAAATAAATTGTACCAAAGAAAAAGTGTAAATTTTCCCAAGCACATTTCGGGTTCACAAAGATCCATTGAGTTTATTTATGTGACAAAAAGTTGATAATAATGTTAATAACGTGCGCCGAAGCGATTTATGTGAAACATTCCAAAAAAAGAAATGACCGTCACCTGATCAACAAGGTCATGTGATATCGTAGCAAATATGTTTATATATAGCCTAGAGAACTCTCTGTATGAATTGGGCATACCTTTAAGTACATAACTTAAAAATAAAACTTAAAATCAACTTTGCAATGCAGTGTTACGTTTTAAATGCATTTTTAGCTCCGGGAAGCCTTAACAGTACTGCATTATTCAGATATTTGTCTCTAGCTGAGTTGGTAGTTGTCCCTTTGTCTGTCTTAAGGTTTTCCTTGACAGAGACACGGTGTGAAGTGTAATTATATAATAGTTTAATTTTTAGTTTTCCATTTATTTGTTTTTGCGACAGCATATTGAACAATCTTTCTGCAGATAGGACCTAGATAAGCTTTGGCTACAGTTATTTTTCTGTGTTTAGTCATGAAGATTTCTTAAGTAAATCAAAAAGGTGTGTGATTGGCCATAAGCAGAGGCTATGGGGTTTGCACTACAGTGTTTGCAATACAGAGTAGTTGATGTCTATATTAGCAGCAACACATTGTTTACACCTGATAACCCTCTATAACTGATGTAATGAAACTTGTAAAAACCTTATAATCCTTGCAGTTGCAGGGAAACTGTATTAATCTGAATCCCTGATTTTATTTACTATATTACTGTGTTTTAGTGTGTTCTCTATTTGTAGTTCTACTAGACTGACCCAATCTTCCCTTGACTCATATTCCACTGTCTGCTGTTTGTCTCTCCATAGCTCTATTTGACTGTCCAAATCCTGCAATCCATGAATCTACTTTCTGTCTGTTTGTTTCTCCTTAGCCCTATTGGACTGTCCAAATCCTCCCTAGAATAAAGTGTCAATTTTTCTTCTGTCTGTCTGTAGTTTTATTGAACTAGCCAAATCCTCCCTAAGATCCATTAATCTACTGTGTGTCTGTCTATTAGTATCTGTCTCTCTGTAGCCCTATTGGACTGGCAAATCCTCACTGGAATCCATTAATTAATCCACTGTCTGTCTGACTGTAGCTTCATTAGACTGGCAAATCTTTCCTAAAATCCTTTAATTTATCCAATGTCTGTCTAGCTGTCTGTCTGTCTGTAGCTCAACTGGAATTGTCAAATCCCCCCTGGAATCTATGGTATTAATCCACTGTTTGTCTGTCTGTATTTTATTGGACTGTCCAAATCCTCCCTGGAATCTATTAATCCAGTGTCTGTCCTCAGATATTTCATAGACTGTCCAAACCCTTAGTAGTGTTAATCTCTAACTCTCTGTCTGTAGCTCAATAGGACTGGCCAAATCCTCCCTGGAATCCATTAATGGCGTCAATCTCTTCGGAGAGCAGGGAACGTCTTCCTCTGTGATTTATGTTGATATTGATGCACATAACAGAAACAGGACGATATTCGAGACAATTCTTCCCAGAGAGTCAAATTCTAAGGTTTGTCAATCTGGCAGTTTTTGTCCTGCACCTTGCATGTCCTATAGGCATTGATCCTGTGTGTATGTTAGTCTGTTATATTGCTGTTTTCTGCTTTTTATCCAGTATTTATTATCTCATGTCATCCATTGCAAACCATACCATTAATGATCATGTAGCACTAAAGACTCATTTGGCTAGTGCTGAAACAGTACTTGGATTCATTTGGTGAATGTTGTAGTAGAATTTGTGTGAATATTTATTTGTGTGTCCTAAATGGTTATTAGTATTTGTTACTCTGTTACTCATGCAGACAGACATCTATGATTATTATACATGGGAGTCATTTTTATTTTTCACATTTTACATTTAGAGAAAATATTATTAGCATGCATTGCAATAAACATTTATATTAAATTTTTCTGCAAGTTTAATTTAAGGGGGATGGGGGGATGGAGTGAGACAGGGAGAGAGTGAGAGAAACTGAATCTCTGTAACTTGAATATGATTCATATGTCATTATTTTGGTGTTGATAATTTGATTTGAAATTGATTTTCAAATTAACCCTGTTGGAGTTTGGCCTACCAAAACCTCATGAGTGTATTGCTTCTACTGGGACTTATCGATAATGTTTCTTGATGGAGTTTGGTTTGCCATATTCATGAAGGAAAGTGGCTTACCTTATTTCTGGTGAAACATAGCTTGGCTAACTCTTAAAGGAGCATAGCTTTGCTGGCTCCTGATTGGGGGGGGGGGCATAGCTTGGCTAACTCCTTAAGGAATATAGTTTTGCTAACTCCTGAAGGAGCATAGCTAAGATAAATCCTGAAGGAATATATAGCTTGGCTGACTTGTAATGGAGCATAGCTTGGTAACTCCTGAAGGGGTATATCTTTGTAACTCCTGAAGGAGCATGACTTGCCCAATTCCTGATGGAGCAGGATTTACATGATTCCTGAGGGGTTGTGGCTTGTTATGAATCATGTAACATAAGATGCATGCCCTCTCTTTCCTAGCTCTATAGGTATAGCTAAGGCAGCACTAGAAGCCGTGAATGGTGAGAATCTATTCGGGAAACAAGGAGCCTCCTGGTCTGTAGTCTTTGTTGACTACGATGCTCACAATCGAAATAGGACCATATTTGAAGGCATTTTACCAAGAGAATCTAACTCTAAGGTCTGTCATATTTTGTCACATTTTGATATATACTTTAATTTTAACATTGATTATTGAGAGAAAGAAGAGAGAGCTCTAGAGAGAGAAAAACTAGTTTGTATGGCATCTCAGAAATAAAACTTGCTCACAAAACAAGGGAGAGGAAATGTGTTTTCTAATAATGTAACACATCTACTAGCTAGTTACCATTTTGTTGTGTCCTTATTTGGAATGCTTTTGAAGGCTTCTTAGTTTATAGCTAAGCTGATCATATACAGTCAATCGTATTTGTTCCCATTCAATCAGAGCTTTCTCACATTATTCATATCATAGATCCTTAACTTAAATGTATCATACAAAAGGTTATTTTTGTTCTTGTCAAACATTTTTAAAAACAATTTTAGAATTAAAAATATTTTTTATAAAACACACAGATACAACACAATTTTAGAATTAAAAATATTTTTTATGAAACACAAACACAGATACATTTTCTGACTTTGACTTTCTAATGACCTTCACCTTACCATAACTTATCTAGTGTTTAGCTCTTAAAAGCAAATAATTAAGAATGTTTTATTTATTAAACTTTATAGTGATTCATTCTAGTACGGGCAATTCACTTTCGGAATTTTTTCTATGACCTTGACCCCATTATTCCAAACTTGTGCATTTTACTTAGTTTCACAATGAGCTTGACCTTTCCATATGACCTTGAGTTTTCTTTTCAATATATTTTATTTGAACTTTATAGAAAGTTATATTTTAACATCAAAACCTTTCTATATATCTTAACCCCATTATCCATTCATTTTGCAGTAACTTAAACTGTAACTTCTTTCTTCCTACCAAAGAGGGATGGAAAATTTCCTCACGCAGCGTTCATATCCTATGAACATTTTTTTTAAATTTTGAATAATGATACATGTATTACCTTAAAAATGGATCATATTTTATTTCTTTATGTAATGTATTTTGTAAATTATAACTTCAAATTATTTGAATTAAAGCATCAATTCATTCATCATGCCATTCATTTGACAATACTGTGATAGATCTTAAAAGTTAGACATCAGCAAGATTTGGTAAAAAAAAAAAAAATGAAGTGTTAATGTTAAGTTGTCTTATACGTTAACTTGTCTTGATATATATAACATAATGATATTAACTTTTTTGTTTTCAATCATTTTAATTAGTCCAAAGAGCTGTTTTGTTTTAGATGATCTACGACCAGGTTTTTGTCTGTTATAAACCTTTCTCTGTACAAACAGAACACAGATGCGGCTCTATTATCTACCATTGGTTGGCCTGCGTTTGCTTTACATGAAGAAGAAATCAAAGTCCGAACATTTAGTAAAGTTCTTCGCAAACTGAAAGGAAAATATGGCATCAAGCGGTATTTACGTGACGGATATCGGACGGTACTGGAGGACAATAAACGTCGCTTCTATAAACCCGCAGAAATCAAAGTAGGTCAAAAATATAGTTCTTTCCCTGTTCATAATACAATAATTTGAAAGATTTCACTAGCTTTTTAATAGATTAACTTATTTCTTAGCCATGAAAGTGAATCTTTTATTTAAACTTCTTTGACTACATTTGCAATGTTATTGCTCCATATTTTAGTTTTTTACTCTACATTTACATATAATTATCTACTTGGTAATACTTATATAATTAAATATAATTCACCAGTTGTTTGATGGAATCGAATGTGAATGGCCAGTCTTCTATGTCCTACTCATGATTGACAGTAAGTAACAAATTACAAGGTTTTATTTATGATTGACTGATAGTAAACAATCTACGTGTTTCTTTTCTGTTTTCGTTGTTTCTGACAGAAGCACAGATAGATATTTATCTGAAGTTCATTTTTTTTTTCTGTTTACAGAGGTGTTCCAACATGACAAGCAGGGTGTAGAGCAGTACGCTAAATTATTAGAGCCTCTGTTATATGACTCGGGTGAAGGTATCAATTAATGATATTAGTAATAATAAAATGATATATATACACATAAAATACCAACATAACAAGCCAGGGGTAGACCAGTACGCTAAATTATCAGAACCTCTGTTATATACTTGGATGAAGGTATCAAAATACAATATTAATTGTTGTTAAGGCATGTTGAATGCCCTATGTAATCGGATCTTGAAAATTCTACTTTACCACACTGTTGAAGCTTTGTGAGATGAAGTGCAAATGTATTCAAAGTAAACATGCAAGATGGGTACAACATCGAAGTAAGCCTGTTTATCAGGTTTTATTGTAAATCCTATTTTCATCCTAGGTAAACTGATCCCTAAGTTTTATTATGTGCCAAAAGAAAACATTGAGGAGGAGAAGAGAGTCCCTGGGAGTACGAATCGATACCCGAGTGCAGAAGGGTCAACCGACGGAACGTACATGCTGGGACAGTCTATTTACTTCATTTCACAACTACTAGGTAAGATCGGAGATATATAAAGTCATAAACTGCAGTTTTTAGTTTATTCTCATAAACAAAGTGTGTGATTTGGTCTTCACTTTTGATTATAATTTTAGTTCATGGACTGTTGAACCTAAATGACCTTGACCCAATTAGGAGACACCTGCCAGCATCAGAGCGACCCAAGGTCAACATGAGATACTCATCTTTCCAGGTCTGATATTTCTAGGTGCTATTCATCTTTCAAGGTCTAACATTTCTCTGTGCTAAAGGCCATGTGAATTAAGATTTTTTTAATTTTTAGATCACGCCCCCTGACCTTGTGACCCAGGTCATTCTTATCGCGGAGAGCGCGCGTCTACAGCAGCTTCTGGCTACGTACGGAATCCAGACCCAGACGCCACATCAGATCGAGCCCATACAAATCTGGTCCCCCAAAGAGCTGTCCAAAGCCTACGAGTACCTCGGGGTCAACAAGAAGCTGGGGTTGACAGGAAGACCAAAGCGACCATTCGGCGTCCTCAGTACTTCTAAGGTTACAAGTTTTGTTTCTGTTGAAAATTTTCCCATATATATTGAATATTTCTATGATGTTTTACTTCAACTATGGAAGTTTAATTGCACAATGAACATCAAGTACATTTGTATTTTACATATACACATGTTCAGAGTTTGTGGATTTAATGTGTTATGTAACTTATGTTTGTGTTTTAGATATACAGAGTTTGTGGCTCTACTGTGTTATGTTATCCCCTGGTTTTTGAAGTCAGTGACTTTTACTTGGCCCAGGATGTTCCCATTATGCTTGATGATTTAAAGGTCAGTCTGTCTCATTTCATTATCACCAAGATGAATTTTCTATAAACCAAAAATTGTACATAAATGTTTTGTTAGTTTGGTGTTTGATTGAAAACCATCATTTACGGGCTTCGACTTCGACATCTTGAGAATTTGTATGAGATATTTCAGTGTTATAATAACTACATTACTGATATTACAGAATGACCTGGCATTTCTCTCCAAGTGTTGGAAGTTGTCAGGGAGACCCACTTTCTGCATGATCATCAGAGAAAGCAATGTCAGGTAGATAACAAATAAAATAATTATCTTTTTCAGCTTTCTTCTCCTTGTGTGGGAGGAGGAATATTTATAAACGGTCAGTGTACGACAATCGTGTTGTAATATTTTTTCGTAATTTTTTTTTCTTCAGGGGACCTAACTTTGGTGAGTTCTTGGATCTGCTCGCTCAGTTTAAACGCGGAGATGTGGATGGGATAAGAGTCCGGTTAGGAAAGCTTCAGGTAAGATTTTGGTGTC